AAACAAGGGAGTTATAGCCATTTCAAGTTTAAGCCAATCAGATTGCAGCACACGTGCATGCGCGTGATTTCATGATTTTTTTTCTACATCATATTGTAATATATCGTAATGCATGACTATGTTTTAAATTTCAAAGCATTTCGTCAATAAACAAAGGAGATATAGCCATTTAAAGTTTCAGCCAATCAGATTGCAGCACGTGGGCATGCGCATGCTTTCATGAAAATTCTTATACATCACGCAGTAGATCTTCATAATGTAGGTCTATGTTCAAAATTTCAAAGGATTATGACAAGGAACAAGAAAGATATTGAGACTTTAGTTTCAGCCAATCAGAGCGAAGCGCACGTGCATGCGCGTGAGATCTTACTTTTTTGACCATGTCATTTTGTCTATCCTTCAAATATATACTTATAATATGAATTTCAAAGCATTTCATCAATAATTTAAATAGTTACGTCTGTATCAATTATATTGGACATTTCTCGTGTTGCACGTGCGAGCTCTTGCAAGCACATGTGCATGCACATGCTTTCATGATAAATCTTATATTACAGGCTGTAGATCTCCCTAATGTATGACTATGTTCAAAATTTAAAATGATTTTATCAAAAAACAAAAAAGATATTGAGACTTTAGTTTCAGCCAATCAAAGCGAAGTGCACGTGCATGCGCGTGCGATCTTGCTATTTTGACCATGTCATCTTGTGCATACTACTAATATATCTTTACATTATACGTTTCAAAACATTTCGTCACAAAATAGAAAAGTTACGGTTATATCCATTATATATTGGTCATTTTAAGTTTTGCACGTGCGCGCTCTTGCAAGCACGTGCGCGCAAAATGACCTTGATTCCGCAAATCTACATAACATGCCTACTTACCCTAAAAAGGTTTCACCTAAGTCGGATGTGTAGTTTACAAGATCACTCGCGGAAAAGATTTTCCCAGGAAGAAAAATAATAATAATAATAATAAGAATAATAATAACTAGTGCTAATTGTAACGGGAACCGTTACAGATGTTCCCCAAACGCTCCCCAACTTCCTTTTGGTGCCGCATTCCCTGTAAGCTTCATTAAATAAGACAAACTGTATGCATTTGAGGCTTTAACAACATTTGCCCAGAAAGTACCAAGTTCATTCAAATTCTGGCATTGCACGCGTGCGCATGTGAATGCATGTGCTTTATGACCATATCATCTTGTCTAAACAATCTTTATATTTTAATATACTAAATATTAAACTAATTAATTCAAAAGTATTTAAAAAATACGCTTATTAAACTGTATTTTTGATTTTACTCATTTCACGTGCAAGCACGTACGTACATGAGCATGATGACCATACCTTGTTGTAGAAGTCCATTACATCTATCTATGTTTTAAATCCCACCCCGTTTGGTTGAAAACCAAGGAAGATATAGCTGTTTAAAGTTTCAGCCAATCAGATTGCAATCCACGTACATGCACGTGTATGAATGTGCATGGTGACCATACCATCTTGTAGAAGTCTATAATATCTATCTATGTTTCAAATCCCATCCTGTTTGGTTGAAAACCAAGGGAGTTATAGCTATTTAAAGCATAAGCCAATCAGATTGCAGCGCACGTGCATGCACGCGTTTTCATGATATTGCTATATATCTTTTTGTAGGATATCCTAATACATGCCTATGTTTAAAATTTCAAAGGATTTCGTAAAAAAAACAAGAAAGATATTGGGACTTTAGTTTCAGCCAATCAGAGCGAAGCGCACGTGCATGCGCGTAAGATCTTGCTATTTTGACCATGTCATCTTGTCTATGCTTCTAATATATACTTATAATATGAGTTTCAAAGCATTTCATTAATAATTTAAATAGTTACGTCTGTATCAATTATATTGGACATTCCTCGTGTTGCACGTGCGAGCTCTTGCAAGCACACGTGCATGCACATGCTTTCATGACAATTCTTATATAACAGGCTGTAGATCTCCCTAAAGTATGACAATGTTCAAAATTTCAAATGATTTTATCTAAAATCTAAATAGAGATTGAGACTTTAGTTTCAGCCAATCAGAGCGAAGCGCACGTGCATGCGCGTGCGATTTTGCTATTTTGACCATGTCATCTTGTGCATACTACTCATATATCCTTACATTATGAGTTTCAAAACATTTCATCACAAAATAGAAAAGTTACGGTTATATCCATTATAAATTGGTCATTTCAAGTTTTGCACGTGCGCGCTCTTGCAAGCACGTGCGCGCAAAATGACCTTGATTCCGCAAATCTACATAACATGCCTACTTACCCTAAAAAGGTTTCACCTAAGTCGGATGTGTAGTTTACAAGATCACTCGCGGACAAGATTTTCCCAGGAAGAAAAATAATAAGAATAATAATAACTAGTGCTAATTGTAACGGGGACCGTTACAGATGTTCCCCAAACGCTCCCCAACTCCCTTTTGGTGCCATATTCCCTGTTATCTCTATTAAATAAGAAATACTTTATGGAATTTAGACTTAATCAAGGTCTTCCAAGAAAAATACAAAATATATTAAAAAAATAGGCATTGCACGCGTGTTCATGTGCGTAACGACCATATTATCTTGTCTACACTATCTTAAATTTTAATAATATCAAAGCATTTAATCCAAAAGTATTTAAAAAATGCACTCATTCGAGTGTATTTTTTATTTTACTCATTTCACGTGCACGCACGTGCAAGCACGTGCATAATGACTACAACTTCTTGTAGGAGTCCCTTATATTTATCCAAGTTCTAAATCTCATCCTGTTTGGTTGAAAAACAAGAGAGTTATAACCATTTGAAGTTTCAGCCAATCAGATTGCAGCACACGTGCATGCGCGTGATTTCATGAATATTTTCTATATCATATTTTAGGATATCGTAATGCATGACTGTTTTAAATTTCAAAGCATTTCGTCAAAAAACAAAGGAGATATAGCCATTTAAAGTTTTAGCCAATCAGATTACAGCACGTGCGCATGCGCATGCTTTTATTAAAATTTTAATATATCATGCTGTAGATCTTCATAATGTAGGACCATGTTCAAAATTTCAAAAGATTATGACAAGAAACAAGAAAGATATTGACACTTTAGTTTCAGCCAATCAGAGCAAAGCGCACGTGCATGCGCGTGAGATCTTGCTATTTTGACCATGCCATCTTGTCTATACTACTAATGTATCCTTACACAATGAGTTTCAAAGCATTTTATCAAAAAATAGAAAAGTTCCGACTATATCTATTATATTGGTTATTTCAAGTGTTGCACGTGCGCGCTCTTGCAAGCACGTGCGCGCAAAATGACCTTGATTCCGCAAATCTGCATAACATGTCTACTTACCCTAAAAAGGTTTTACCTACCTCGGACGAACAGTTTACAAGATCATTCCCGGACAAAAAAGTACCCAGGAAGAAGAAGAAAAATAATAATAATAATAATAATAATAAGAAACAGAGTAAAAACAATATGTTCCCCAACTTCGTTTGGGGAACATAATAAGAAACAGAGTAAAAACAATATGTTCCCCAACTTCGTTTGGGGAACATAATAACGTGCTTGCAATGCACATCTTACAGTTCGGGAAGTACCTGGGCCAGACCTTCAAGTGATTCCCCATTTTCAAAAGTGAGTTATCTCCCCTAGAAATCGGAACTCTTCTAAACTAACACAACTTCCGCGGACTACATTACTGTTACATTATGGAAGACGTAACGATATTCAACGATTGGAGTGTTACAAAATTAAGAGAATTTTTGAAAGATAATAACCAAATTGTATCAGGTTGTAAAAAAGAACTTGTAGAAAGAGCGAGAGGTGTCCTTGTTCTGAAATTAACAGATGTTGATAGGCAAAACGATGTTGTTCGACCGGCAATTTCAAAGTTTCCCGATGGACAATCTGTACCAAATTTAAACAATCTGTCTAACTGGACCTCAAATTTATCATGCATTCCCGATTTTTCAGAAAAGGACATTTATAACTATTTAGTTATCAAACTAAACACTAAACGACATCTGAAATCCAAGGTATTCCTTGAGGACAAACATGTCCATTCGGTGGAATACAGTCCGGTCACTGATGATTGCAGCCATTGCTGCATTCGATGTAAAGTGATCCCATCATTTCCATCAGCTGACGCAAACAAGCGCCCTGACTATAATGTGTCAGCATTTCTATCCAAAGTTACAGGGAATGTCTTTGCTGCATATTGCACATGCACAGCGGGGTATGTAAGCATTTTGCCTATGACTTGGTCAGTTCTTTTTTTTTATTTTGACTAATCTGAATATTATTATAAATAAAAAAATCATCAATAGACACAATGAAATGGGCGGGTACAATATCGATGCGGACGTGGGAAAAACATGGGATTGAAATTGCTGATCGAAATTCATTTTCAATCCACCTCAGCTACCCTAGAAGGCACATTATTTATGATTGACCCTAAAGACAAATAATTTCAATTTTGGTATAGTTTGAAGATAATTTTATACATGTTATATAAATCAGAATTTTTTTCTGTCCAGTGTTTCAAAGAAATATATAAAGGGACTAATATTTGATTAATGTTTGGTATTATTTATGTAAGTGTGCGATGGGGGGGGGGGGGGGGGGTTAACAATAAGTAATAAAAAAATGTGAACTTCAAACAATATGTATTTGGGAGTTGAAATTAGTTGATTTTGGATCATACATTCACTCTTTGCTTTGAAAACAGCTCAGGTGGATTGAAAATGAATTTCAATCTGCAACTTCAATCCGATGTTTTCCCCACGTCCGCGTCAAATTGTACCCGCCCATTTCTTGTCTATCACTGAATGTTTTGATTGTAACTTATAGAAATGACGTAGGCTGTATATTTCCTATTTTGCCAGTTAATGTTCTGTGGTCTTAAATATTATGGAGTTACTAAGTTAGTGTTAAATTTTTCAAGATTATTAATGAACACCATTGATTGTTTTTATGTTTCTAATTACAGTTTTGGGGAGGCATGCAATCACATTTCGGCACTGCTTTATGCAATTGCAGACATAGATGAAAAGAAGAAAAGCGGTCTTCTCTCATGCACGTCAAATAAATGTCTCTGGAACAATCCAAGAAAAAGAAAATTAAGTCCAAAAAAATGCTGTGAAATAAAGTTCAAAAAAAGTTCATTTGGTTGCACTCCAAGGATTGAAACTAATACATCTACCAGTACTGAGACAACAATCCAAGTACTATCGTCGCCAACTTTCAACGTACAGAGATTTCGAAAAACTCTCGTTGATAATAATTCAAAAGCTGGTTGGCTTACATACTTTGCTAGCAGACCTAAGGAGGACAATATACCGTCATTACACAATATTTTATATATGTACCATGACAATGTTGATGTTAATGATACCAAAGTACAAAATGAATTGCGCCAATATTTCAAATCTCTGTCTGTCTCATATGCTGATTGTGTAAAGATAGAGGAACTTACAAGAGGTCAAAATAAAAGTCAGAACTGGTTTGATTGCAGGAAAGGGAGGCTGACAAGTTCCAACTTTGGAACAATCTGTAAGATGAAACTGGGAACAGATCCTAAAAATCTTTTAAAATGCTTGTTGTATGACGTTTCTTTTCCCTCAAACAAATTTACTAAGTGGGGAATTGAACATGAGCCTGCTGCAAGGAGATTTTATTGCAGACGATATCCGTCTTATATGGTGTCTCAGTCAGGTCTTATTATCAGTCCGAAATATCCTCATCTAGGCTCTAGTCCAGATGGTATTGTTACTTTACCAAGCGGTGAGAGTGGACTTTTAGAAATTAAATGTCCAGCATCAGACAAATGGCGAACCCATTCTCCTGTTGAGTGTGCACTTGATCATGAGTTTTGTTGTACACTTGATGAAAATCAAAATTTAAAATTGAAAACAAATCATAATTATTACTTTCAGGTACAAGGCCAAATGGCAATATGTAACAAACCATGGTGCGATTTTGTTATTTGGACTCTGAAACCACCTTTCTCTGTTGAAAGAATATATTTTGACCAATCATTCTGGTTGAAATGTTTAGATAAACTGAATGATTTTTATATAAAAAATATGCTCCCAGAACTTTTCACACAAAGATTGTTAAGATCACTCAAGTAAATAAACAATTTGAGTCATCTTTTTGAAATGTTTTTTTAAAGAATGAAATTCAGTTCAATTTTATTCATTTATTGCAATATTAAAGACTGTATGCATCAATTATAGAAATCATGAAACAAATTTATGTTGATTGACAGATGGTGAAATAGTAAGACATTGATGTTTAAAGTTTCAGTTAAGAGACATGCATGAATGAATAAAAATAAATGTATAAATCTTTGCTAAGAGGGTATATAGGAAATTTATACAAAATGTATTTTTTTTTTGTTTTTGTTGACAAAAAATTTGACAATCACATTGTTCTCAGCTGGGTCTTAAAATATTTCCATGCTGTTCATTTAAATTACAAATTGAATAGAATTCTTATGACTTGCTTGTAATCTAAGGAAATGACATATTCAAAAAAAATTAATTCATAAATTTGTAAATATATTTCCATGGTTAATTATGAAAGTACATTTTTCTTTTTTACATTCTTTTTTTCTTTTCATATAAAATGAATGCTGTGAGTAAATCTAAATGTCAGTCACAAATTGTTTGGTATAATGATGCATTATCAGTAACATTAATAAAGAAAAAAATAATTTAAGAACACATTTACAAATTGTATGTGTATTTGAATTTTACAACTTGAAACTTTTGAAGTACCAATATAAAACAATAAAATATTCAACAAACAACTTGTTCAGTTTTTACCCAATATATCATATTATGAAAGTTCGGTTGGTGATCAACAAAGTGAATGCCATATTCCTTCACAACAGCTATGACACAATATCATAATCTGGAACATTACACAGGGGCGGAAGGAGATTTGTTAAAGCCACACAAATTTTCCAAATTTTAGAACATTGGGAAGCCATACTTATATGCATCACACCTTCAAAAATATGAAAGTTCTTTATTCTTTCCATTTGTCTTTCTACGTGAATTCTAAGACGTGCTATGTCACGAGTCAACAAAACATCATTTCGAGACATTTGATGATTTTTTTTCTTGAAAGGGGGAATAATTAGATGAATTCCTTTCGGGGTAGTCAAGTCTGAAATAACAAAACCTTTATCGGCCATAATGGCATCACCTACTTCACATAAATGTAATATTCCACATTTTTTGGTCAATTGTTTATCACTAATACTTCCTCCCCATAAGTCAGAAACAAATGTAGTCACACCTGCAGGACTAATGCCAATGAGTCCTTTAAAAGTCATGTGGGATTTATAGTCACTGTACATTAGTGACTTGTTAGCAAGAGAACTCGGGGTTTGTACAAAAACTTCAGTACAGTCTACAATAACCCTACAGTTACTAAATTTTCTTTTGAATGAAATTGGCATTGTAGCATTTATTGTATCTCTAGAAGGCCACATTATCAACGGCTGTAATTGAACAAATAAAAAATCTATCCATAAATTGAAAATCTTGCTGCATGTTGAAACACTAACATTAAATCTGTTTGCCAAATCCTCAAGAAGTAAACCAAGTCTTAGTCTCAAAAGCACAAGAAAAAATTCATCGATGATCCTGAGTCTCCTTGGTCTTCCCTTGTTTGATGATGAAGAACTTGCACGTCTTGTATTTTTATATGCATCGTCCTTTATCTCATCGAATACGGCATTAAATGTCTCCTTATTAGGAATGCCCGTGTAGAATAAAATTTTAGAATTATCATGTTCTATGTCCTCGAATGTGAACACAGGTCTACAAACTTGTGTTCCTTTGTCAATGCCCCTTTTTTCATCAGTCTGTGTTTCTGCTGAGGTAGAGTTAGTCATGGCTGCAATGTTCAAATGCGATCCATCAGTCTGTGTTGATGCATCTTTAGAAAAAATTGTAGTTTGGGTTTCCTTATTATTTGGAACTTCACCTGTACATGTCCAGTCCTTGTGGTAGTCATGCATATTTAGAGAGTCCCTTAATGGGTCATCTGTTCAAAAGTTAAATATATATACTTAATATTGTTATGTTACTAGTAATTATATTTACTTTATAAGCAAATTTTAAGATGCTTAAAAACTTAATTTTCAATGAAGAAATTATAACAAATACATATACAACTGAAATTGTCTTATTTAGTTAAATACCCAAAAATGTCATAACTCATGGAGTTATTTAGTAGGTGTATATGTAGCACATATAGGACTAATCTCATTTAGATTCATCAGTATTACAGTATTGAAATAACCTGATTGTTAGATTCATCAGTATTACAGTAAGAAATAACCTGATTGTTCAAGGCTATCCTGGTAATCCATACTCTCTATCTCGGGGTTTACATCCTCTGGCTGAGTGATAGGAAAACTTGACGTACTTGTGCATGTTGTGGGTGCCTGGAGTGAAAAGTGAAATTTTTCAGTACATAGGATTTTAACAACCCCCCCACCCCCACACACAGAGGAAATATAAATTTAAGAATATTTAAAGATAACAATATGTATCTACATTTAATAAGCATTTTTTTTATAATCATGATAACATCAACATTTAAAGTGATTAAAGAAAAAATAGTGTGTAAATTACATTTGTGTTATAAATATATTATCATCATTTTATATCATGAATGAAATATTTTAATTTTATGATTTAACCACACCTTTCCCTGTTTTTTTTTATGAGCTGTGTATTGTATTGTATAGGCCTAGTATGTCACCAAATGTGTTCTCACATGATGTTCATTGTGTAAAGCTTGCCTTCTACCATATAATAGCCATATGATAAACTGTTTTTGTTATTGTGAACAAAAAGAAATCTTAACTAATTCGTATTTTTAATTCCTCTCTCAGAGTCTCTTTCTGGATTTGTTGTATATATGTAAATAAAAGCCAAAATTTCATGGAAAGTAAAAAATTCTTACCGATGTTTTGAACGTCTTGTTGGGGAAAATAGATGGTAGTGGATGGTCTGCAGACGGGCCTTGATTATTGACAAAATGTACTGAACAGATGTAAGAATTCTTTGAATAGTTAAAGTCTTTTCTAATCAATCTGGCCCGTTGCAGCCATATTTTCTTTTTGTTTGTATCGCTGGGAAATCGGTGGAGGCTGATGACCTTGCCTCCTACAGATTTGCCCCTATAGTTACTGCATATGCAGCAGTATTTACGTGATCTATACCCCGAAACTTCGCTTTTTCTTCTATCGTCCATTATGATGATTATGTCGAAAACGTCCGCGGAAGTGACTTTCTTTCTAGCGCGTGCGTATTAAACACAGTAAAAGAGTTCCCTTCAGGGAAGATAACTCACCTTTTGAAAATGGGGAATTTTCACCAAACCGCTTGATGCCATATTAGAATGCTATCCTTCCATCTCTGACGTGGAAGGCTGAGAAGGCCTTCTAAGTCTACCCTACCAAACCAATCGAGCAGACAGAATGGTTATTCTGGAATAAGAAGGGTCCCAATCGAGTGGGCCCCTGATGTTGGTCAGGAAGAAGGTCATCGAGGACAAGGATAGGCAGAAGGCGGAGCCGGCGAAGGTAAGTATGCCAGCGGAGACCGCCCCTACCCCCAGCGCAGAGCCAGACGACGCCCTAGACGACAAGGATCTCGTGGAGGCGGTGAGGAACATCGAGACCATGGAGGTCCTCTCAGGTGGTATGTGAACTTTGTTTTATGTTTATATTTATCATTGAATTTCATGTAATTTGAAGATCAGTGTATATTATTTTACATTAAAAATGTAGATAAGTTATGTTTCACAGCTAATTTGTCTATATTTTCTTTTTGTTTAGTTCCAGTGGTGAGTTTGTGTAGATGGTGTATAGTTTAGCACTATGTAGCTTATATATATATACAAACACAAATTCATATATCTATCTCTAGCTTATATCTTTTTCTTTAATATATATTGGTGTCTGTTTCTGTGCTTTCTCATTATCTACTCAGTATCTAGCTTTCATAACATATAATACATTCATATAGCCAATGAGATAATAGATAACATTTTAATATTTACAAATATAACTTAACTAAGATATAAACAAAAAATATTTAATGTCATATAGAATTTTATAGATGTAAAATAAGGAAATGAACTCTGAAATTTTGTGTATTGTTTTTTATTATTTGCAATTTGCTTATTTTGTCATACGAAATTGTAGATGTGGTGTACAGTGCCTGGAAACAGGTGCTGGACCCGTGTGACCTGAAGTGGATCTCCAAGGCCCTCTTCCGTGTCAACCAGCAAGGAAAGCCGGAGATGTGCTTCGACACCATGGACCGGATGTGGTACCACCCCTCCAAGCCAGCTCTAGTATATGCCCAGCCTTCCACCATAGACAGGTATGCGGTTATTTTTAGGGAATATGTACTTCTTTTTAAAATTTTTAATATTTATTTTGTATTAGAATAAAGATTATTTTTGGTACTAAATTTTCTCTGTTTTTGTAGGTACTTTGCTAGGCCCATCTTTCTGTGGATGCCGAAGAAGCTGTGGAGAGTTAGGTTGACGTGTCCTGGGGAAGACTGCGTTGGGCAGGAGTTGATCTCCTCGGACATTTACAGGACGCTCCGCAGAGTCCTGAGTCTCTCAGGGTTCTACTACATGGCCACGGAGTACCTGGAATGCCCGAAATGCAAGAAAAAGCTCAGCAGTTGGAACCAGGACTTGCTTGACCAGCTCGACGTGGGGCACCGCCTCCAGTTTCCGTGCATCCTCACCAGAATGATGGCCTGCGACCTGGAAGTGGTGAAGATGCTGAGACAGCGCGGACTCGGGAACAGTGTTGCCAGACTCCGTCAGAACCTCGCGGAACTGCACGGAGAGGAGAACCTCAAGAGGACGGCGCACTACCTGAGCGACTGCCAGACCTTCAGCTCCGCCCAGAAGAAGGGACTGATGACGAAGACCGTTTTCCCCTCCCCGCCCACGCCCATCAAGATGCCATCCTGCCAGTGGCTGACGTCGGTCTACTGCCAAGACGTGCTGTCGAGACTGGATGAAGTCAAAGCTGGCATCACCTCAGTCTACGGCCGCATCCTGAAGATCGACTCGACCAAGAAGGTGGTGAGGAAGCTCCAGGGAGCCGCGTCCGAGACAGCCGCGTGGGCCACCAACGTGGGAAATGAGCACGGCCAGGTGCTCATCTCCGTCATCACCGCCGGAGAGGGAGCCGGTGTAAAGACGAATAATGACCCCCATCGAATAATGACTGGGGGGTCATTTTTCAACGACAAAAAATGACCCCCACCCGTAGAAAAAAATAATTTTTTGTAGAAAAAGGGTCCTAGGGGGTCATTATTTTATATGTTAGTCCTATAAAATAATGACCCCCATTGAAAAATGACCCCCTTTAAAGTGATACAAAATATACACTCTTTATTATCTTTTTTTACAGCGAAACTAATTTTTACATTTTCCTTAACCAAAAAAATACAAAAAGTCGTATGAAATAATTAAGAGATTCACGTAGTCTTTCAATGCTAAAATTGTGTTTGAAAAGAGATTCTTTAATTGTCAAGTAAATAAAATTTCTTTTTAATATTTCTCCTTATAATGTTTGCTTAAAGAATGATATTCCACTTGTTTTTAGAAATCAAACCATGCAAAAATCAGGTTCAAATACTCTTTAATAGGAAAAATTAAATTTTCCGTCATTTCAACTTTTAGTTTGTTTAAGTTTGGCAAATCCTATTTGACAATGAAAGAGGAAGAAATTTTTATCCCCCCCCCCCCCAAAAAAAAAAAAAGAACATTACGTTAAATCAAAAAAAAAAAAAATAAATAAATGAAAAGCAAAAATATAAATAAAACTCTATACCTTTCTGATAATAATTCTGAGAGAGGCTCTAGATAAAATATTGAAAGGATGTTAAGCCTTCACACAAGTACTATCATATCATAATTTTCTTCGCCATGATGAAAGCATACATGTTGGTGGAGGTATACTTGAAAGTATTGTGGCAAAGTAACAGTTAAAAATTAGTAGAATAGTAGATTATTTTTAGCTTGTTTTTAATTCTTTCTTATAGAAAAATAAAAGTAGGGTGTTTTTTTCTGCTTTTGTTCAATATCGACTTCCTCCTAAATAAGAAAGGGGGTGGGGTAAGTATAAGACCTAAAAATATGCTCTGTAAAGCTATGGGCTAGTGTAAAATACACAGTCATTCTAATGCAAAAACTATACATGTAGACATAAACTTTTGATTTAGCACACAGTATTCATTACATTTCTTTTAAGGTATTCAATCCCTAATGGGAACAAATTCAGTGAAATTGAATACATAACTGATATGTAGGCATTGAATACTCAGTTTATTTAGACATATTTCCCATTTATTACTATTAGTATGTATAGTGGGATCTGTCCTAATTTATGACCTTGAGTTTTGGTGAATGTTATCTCCCCTTTTCTTAATAAATAAAAAAAAATCAATTAAAAAATTAAGCCGGTAAAAAAATTGTTTTCAATTGCCATTCTATTTTTAATGTTTCAATGCAACTTTCCACCGCAGGATTTATTGATATTCAAATTATTCAAATTTTTATTTTGAAAAAACGTTTCTCCCCATGGACTTCAATGCAATCTTTGTTAATTAACTACTGCTTAATTAATGACATTTTTAAAACTTTCTCGCGGGCAATCCTTTTCCACTATAAAATGTTTTAATATAATATCAGTGTATTATGTACTTGACGGACATTTAAGGGTAGGGAATTAGGTCCCATTAGGGATGGAAATCCTTAACGTAGAACCTACTTCGTATGACATCATAACTTGTAAATGTGTTAAACCTGTGCTAACCCATTAAGACGTCATAATTAATTCAATGCCACTTTTTCCCGTACTTGACAGCTTCAATAAAAATGGTAGAAAATACTGCATTTTGAAATTCACAGAATTCAATCATGCCAACATAATCTTGATTCAATTCATATATTTTTTGGTTTATAATGCTTAATGGCAATATATTTCTGGAATAAGAGAAAATATGTAGGCACCTTTTATTTACTAGATCTAGACCTGAAGTTGACAAACCCAAGACTATCTAGTGTAATGAAATTACAATGTACATACAACTTTCGTAATAATTTGAATGGCATGTAACCATTTTGAAGGAATGTATAAATCGTGAGAAATCTTTAGTTGCCAGCTATATAGTGTAATATCTTGATGAAATGTGTCTAAGTCAAAGATGTACGTGTTGTAGATCGTTTGATCGTGTGTACATTTTGTGATATCTATAATGAAATGATGTGCATTCCATTTAACAATTATTTGTTAGCTATTCATATTTTTGGTGTTTGATTACAATTTTTATATTAAATATGATCTTTTTAAAGAAAAAGTACAATTTCTGATAAATATTTAATCTGAAAGTAACCCCATACAGTCATTTAATTATTAAATCCCGTGTAAGTGCAAAAAGGTCAAGAATATGAGTATCGGTAAATAGCCTATCTTTCATTAGTTAGAGGGGAAAGGTATATATTTTAATCATTTTTTGTAATCATTTGGCTATGTTCTTCATCATTTTGAAGATTGAAAACATTGTGAAAAAGACGTCTAAAATATATTTAGAAATACAGGGTGAATAATTGACTAAAAATAATAGAGTTCATTTGACTATTTTTTTTAATGGTGGACTTATCTTTTATGTTAATTGAATAAAAAAGAAATTATTCTTGATAAAATATTGTTTAATATTATTCAGTTAAAAAAGTTTATAAACGACGATGTTTGAAGAAGTATTTTTGTGATTTTACATATTCCCTTTATGACAAGTACCCCTAAAAATATTTGAAAATGTGAAGTCGCAGTATGTAAATACCATACCAAGTTTCACAGCCTGTTCTAGATTAAAAAAACAAGGAAACATATCATGATATCTTAACTGATTGATAAGCAAGTACTAATTTATCATTTTGAAAAGTTTGAAAATCTTGTGACAAAGACTTTTCCGACATAGGTTCTACCTTAATTCTTGTTTTACTCCACCCTTTTACTCAGTTCTGAGTATATTTTTCAGAGAATTTAATATGAAAATCAGAACAAACATTTTCATTGTTGTAACGTCTTCTTTACAATGTATATTAATATGAAAAGTTAATTGAAGACCATTTCTTTTTATGTCCCCGTAATCGAAGATTCGGGAGTATATAGTTTTATCGTGTTCGTCTGTATATCCGTCTGTCTATCTGGCGGTTTGTTTGTCCGCAAAAACCTTAACCTTTACCATAACTTTTCATTTATTGGAGCTATGACTTTCATATTTAATATGTATATTCCTTGTGACAAGACCTTACTTTGGGTACCACCAAATTTGACCTTTTGACCTTTACCTTAGAGTTTATCCCATTTTACACAAAAATGCCAAATTTTTACTTTGGCCATAACTTTTAAACAGTGGATACTAGTACTCTCATACTTCAGATATGTAGTTTTTTGGCATTACCTTTCGTTGGATACTAAAACCTTGACCTTTTGACATTAACCTTGGAGTTTTCCGTACTTATGATTTTTTTTTTACCTTGGCCATAACTTTTGAACGGTAAGGGCTAGGGTATTCATACTTCACATATGTTATCCTTGTTACATTAAACATTTTCTTAAGAAATCATCAACTTTGACCTTTGAGTTTGACCTACCTTTCAAAAACTTATCCTTAGCCATTACTTTTGAACACGTGGTGCTAGGGCTTTCCTATTTTGTAGTTGTATTTCTTGTGAGAAGACCCTACTTTGGGTAGCAATATATTTAAATTGCATTTAAGAAAAGTTTAATCTTCGCTATGTTGCCATACAGGGGCATAGCTCTTTCACAAACACATCTTTTTATATATGAGGATTTTCGGATAAGAGATGGATACCTCAAAGCGTAACAGACGGACGGACGGACATCCCAATCACTATATACCCTCCCGCTTTTCAAGCGGAGGATATAATAATATATAATACTGCTGATTTTTTCTGTCAGTTCGATGATTTCCACCATCAAAAAACAATGTTTACCTAACCCTTAAGGCTTGATAAATCTTTTACTCCTTTAGATTCTGAATCACTGCATTTACCTTAAAATATAGCTATAACTGTATAATGTTATGAGATCAACATATCATCAGTTTATTCCCAATAAGCTCAGGTGAGCATTTTGGCCAATATACTTCTTTATCCAATTTTTTTTTGCCCCCTAAAAATTTTAGCTTTAATCTACAGGGGGTCATTTTTCTACGGGGGTCATTTTTCTTCACGTGGGTTCTGCAAATTTTTAGGGAAGTGACACTTTTTCTACGGGCAAAAGGGTCATTTTTCTACGTCGAATAATGACCGGGGGTCATTTTTCGCTGTCGAAAAATGACCCCCGGTCATTATTCGATGGGGGTCATTATTCGTCTTTACACCGGACTGGACGCCATGTTCGAGAGAATCCAGAGGAGGTACAGGGAAGCCAGCGTGAACCCGCTCGAGGTGGTGAATGTGGACAGGGACTGCTGTGGCCCCAATTATGTGGGGAAGAAGTTCCCGTCCTGGAGTGCGACCCAGGTATGTGATATCTAAGGAGATGTATAATTGATTTTATTTTATTGTATTACTTTGGTCTCAAAATTCTATGTTTTCTACTTTGTAGGTCAGACTGGACATCTGGCATTTCATGCGTCGTATCTCCAGCGCCTGCACCACCGAGTCCCACGCCCTCTACCCCTTGTTCATGGGACGACTGTCCGGCTGCATCTTCCAGTGGAGTGAGGAGGACCTTACAGCCCTGAAGGAGGCCAAGGAGACCCAGGCCAACAGCGCGGGAGTGACTGTTCGGGGGAAGGAACGGGATTGGTTGTCCAAGAAGGAGCTCGGCCTGCACTGCAGAAGGACCACCAGGAGCCCCGTCGAGATAAGTCAGAGGATCGAGGAGCTGCTCGACGTCTTCTCCGGGGAGCAGGGCCGAGACATGCTGGGGACGCCACTCCTAGACGAGGACAAGGCCAGGGATGTGTGGGAGAGTCAGAAGCGGCACGTGGGATGCATACAGGACCCACCCAACGTCTCCCTGTACACCCAGACAGGGACCCTGAGGAAGGGCACCAAGACCCTGTCCACGTACCGCTGTGCCAGAGGTTCCATCTCCCTGGAATCCTTCCACCTGCACCTGAACAGGTTCATTCCCGGTAAGTCTACCGTCTATTGTCAAAGTCTTAGTATCTAGTCTCGAGTTTGTTGAATGCCACTTATATTTACTTGTATTTCACAGGTACCAGTGCTAGCGACGTCAACTACCAGGCGTTTCTCTTGGAGGGGCTCTACAGGTGGAACCAGGACAGGGCTTCTCAGGCCGTGGAAGTGGAGGCTCCGCTGTGTCACACGTACAGCGGACTTCTACGCCACGCTGTCAACCACTTGGCACAGACTGTCTTGGGGAACCCTTTAGACCCCGCCTTCCATCAACCCAGGGCCTACACGGGGGAGCTGATCAGAGTCGAGTACTTGTACTCCCAGACGGGCAAGTCACTTCAGGTCGTTCCCGAGGAAGTGCGAGAGGAGGACGCCACACCCGAGGAAGAGGACCAGGACCACGACGAGGGATTTGAGGAGGAAGAGGCAGAGGACGACCCCACCATTCCGGATGCCGACGTCCAGGGTGCAGCTGTGAGGCCGACCGGGAAGCCCTTGGCCAGCGCCGACCGACCACCATCCAGCACGGCAAGGCCCCCATCCAGCCCTAGGGTTGTCAGGCAACGCAGTGCTGTCAGGTCACCGGCCCATGCCGAAGGGTCTACCAAGAGGCCGACACCGGCTGTCACCCTGGATACCCAGCCGCCCACCCAGGACCCACCGACCCAGGAACCAACAGCCCAGGACCCACCGACCCAGGACCCACTAGCCCAGGAAGAGGAGACAGTAAGTAGAACCAATTTTCTATCTATTGCTTCTAAGTGTTTAAGTAAACATTAGTATAGACTGACTTTTTTACTTCTTTGCAGGAAGAGGAACAGCTGCCGGATCCAGCGTCTGGTATGCGGCAGGTGCACGACCTGGCTGACTTCCTGTTGCAGCTCAGGGAGTGCAGGACCTTGACCCGGACCCAGCAGGATCAGCTCATCTCCTTGTGGGAGAAGCTAGAGCCCCGGGACCAGAGACCAGCTGTTTTCCAGGCCAGGACCAAGTCTTCTCCACCCAAAGGAAGGTTTATGTCCTCAAAGACAGCCAAATCACCTACGAAAGCTGGTGTGGAGAAGACTAAGAGGTAAGCGTTTAGCTATTCATCTGGGCTCTTATGCTTATTTTTCTTATTGCACAGTATTTGAATTGTCTCACTCTTCTCTTCAGGTCCTTCGTGGGAACAGGAAGTGGGCCAGCCAGCTATCCAGATACCAACCGGTATATGGAGATGCTGGTGAGGAGGCTGATGGAGGTGCACACCGGCCCAGTCAGGCGACCCAATCAACAGAGTGACAGACCCTGTCCAGATGGAGCCTCGTCCTGACTTCCTACAACAGGATCAGGGAGGTTGTGACGGAGGACCCCCGAGTGTCAGCATTGACCAGCATTCAACTGCTGCCCCTCAACCAGACAACTCTGATGCTCTGGTAAATATCCCTATTTAAACAGCATAATAATGGCATATTTATCTATGATTTTTAGCTCACCTCAACGAAGTTGGGGGAGCTTATGTAATACCCTCGGTGTCGGCGTCGGCGTCGGTGTCGGTGTCGGTGTCGGCGTCCCAGGTTAAGTTTTTTGGAGCAGTTTTCTTTTTAAGTACTTCTATGTCCTATATTGATTAGACATGCATGGAAGATGGTTCTAGTGTGTTTCATTGTACCAGTCAAAGTTTCAGATGCTGCAATTTCAGCCAAGGAATGACCAGGTTAATGTTTTTGGAGCAGGTTAACATTTTTGGTGCAGTTTTTGGTGTAGGTTTCATTTCCAAGTAACTATAAGCCCTATGTTGACCAAACTTGCATGGATGGTACATCTAAGGATGCATACTAACAGGCTTGCTTCGGATGCTGAATCTGACCTACATTTTCCGGTTGAGTGAACAGGTTAAAGTTTTTGGTGCAGGTTTCATTTCCAAGTAACTATAAGCCCTATGTTGACCAAACTTGTATGGATGGTACATCTAAGGATGCATACTACTGGGCTTGCTTCAGATGCTGAATCTGACCATCATTTTCCGGTTGAGTGAACAGGTTAAAGTTTTTGGTGTAGGTTTCATTTCCAAGTAACTATAAGCTCTATATTGACCAAACTTGCATGGATGATACATATAAGGATGCATACTACTGGGCTTGCTTCAGATGCTGAATCTGACCTACATTTTCTGGTTGAGTGAATAGGTTAAAGTTTTTCGTGAGTGATTCATTTCCAAGTAACTATAAGCCCTATGTTGACCAAACTTGCATGGATGATACATCTAAGGATGCATACTACCAGGCTTGCTTCGGATGCTGAATCTGACCATCATTTTCTGGTTGAGTGAACAGGTTAAAGTTTTTGGTGTAGGTTTCATTTCCAAGTAACTATAAGCTCTATATTGACCAAACTTGCATGGACGATACATCTTAGGATGCACACTAATGGACTTGCTTCGGATGCTGAATTCAACATACATTTTTCAGTTAATAGACCAGGTAAAAGTTATGGGTGCAGGTCTATTACCAAAAAACTATAAGGCTTATATAACATTGTATAAACCAAACTTGCACAAATGTTGCATCAAGAGATGAAAACTCTCAAATTTGCTTCAGATGCTGGATTTTGATTACATTTTCATGAAGAAGAACTAGTTTAAATTTTTTATGTAGGTCTATTTCAAAGTATCAGATCAAAATTGCTTAAATATTTTCATTTTTGGAATGTACACTTTTTGTTGGTTAATTGTGTGACTTTGCCTTACTTAAAGACAACATTCGTTGAGGTGAGCTCTGTAATCTCTGATTACCTATGTTTAAGTGTACGTGTTCTTATAGTATCTCTTATACTTAACAGGGACAACAGAAGACAGAAGAAGAGGGAGGAACGGGTGCTGTCACAGGGAATTGAGATCTCGGATCCCCCTATGACAGCCCCTCAGCCCCTACCCGCCGCCTTGACGAAGCCCGCCACCCTTGTGACCTCCATTGCCCTGGCCCACAGATACCGTCTCCCACCCAACACAGACGGCCAGTCCCGCGTCCGGATCAGGTCCCCACCCAGGATGAACTCGCCCCCTAGGATTGCTGCCCCTGCCAGGATCATGGCCCGGCCAGTTCTACCACCTGCCCCAGTCCCAATACGATACTTGATCGCCCTGCCCCCCCCAGGTGCCAGGGACTCAGCCCACCTACCAGCAGCCTGAGTTCCCACCCCTGAAGTTGCCAAAGACGGTGCCCGACTCCACGGCCTCTTACAGACGCAAAGTCAACATGAAGGAGATGATGGGAGAGTACGTCCGCAGGTACGCCCCACGCCGTGGACCGAATAGGTGCGGTAAGTGCAACCAACCGAAGACCGCACCTGGGCACCGTCAGTACTATGGCAACTGGTACTGCCAGGACACCTCGGAGGAGAGCTACGAAGACTGGGTCCATAGGATGGTACAGAGAGGCTATTCCAACAGGAAGAGGAAGAAACTCCCACCAGACGACCAGGAACCCCCGCCAGAGGACCAGGATCCACCTTGAACCGATAACAAAATGTGAAAAAACCAAAAATTTAAAAAACTTAAAAAAACAAAAAAAAATTTTTAAAAACTGAAAAATACCAAAAAAAAAACTCTTTAATGCTGCCTAGTTATGATTTACTTTGTATTTTGTATATATATGCTAATTTACTTTGTATTTTATAGCTACAAGGTCCCAAGCCCTTGTAAAAAGCAGAGGGAATGTTAATAAAATTATTATTAAAAAAATTCATGTCTTATTCTTTAAAATTTATAGAGAAAATCACTTGCAGCATGTTTCAAAAGTTAAAAACCCACCGGGATTCGAACCCAGATCTCTTGCCAGTAAATTAGGCAAGTGTGTTACCATTACACCACAGGAATGTATAGAAATGACACAATTTGCAAGGATTATACTTGATTAAAATTGAGAAAAGGTCTAATTTGCAGTAAATAAAGGCCATATAAGCCTAAAAATTCAAAATAAAGGAGGCTGAAATAAAGCCCTAATGAAGTAGAAAATAACGGCTAAAAATAGGCTGTTTGAATTATTTAAAAAAATTATTTGGTGTAAATCAAGGCAAAATATGCCAAAATTGACTTGAAAACAATCAATAAAAGTCAAAAAAATTTGGGGAAACTCCTTAAAGGGGCTGAAATAAAGCCCTAATTGAAGTACTAAATTGCAGCTAAAATAAGCTGTAAAATATTAAAACAGACAGATATTTATTCCAAAAAGAGGAAAATAATAATGCTCAAAAGTACCAGGGAAATAAATATGGAGACCCCAAAAGACCAAAAATCCATAAATATATACCCGTAAAAACAATTTTAAAAATCCCTAAAAATCCGCTATTTAAATCTCTCTAATATATTTAATAATGCACTCTAAACTTTCTAATTAGGCAGAAAACCCCGCATTAATTATCTTTACTGAGCGCCTCTAGCGGCGACCCAAAATTCCCTTCCATTCTCTCCTTTTCTCCCTTCATCCCCCCCTTCTTTACCTGCGCTGGAAATTGGAAGAAAACAGAGAAGATTGCGTACCATCCTTTGCGCTACTTGCTTCCCAATCTTCGTGGTGGATTCCAATTTCTAGACCAATCAGAATTGTCCCTCATTCCAATTTCATTCCAATTTCGTTCCAATTTCATTCCAATTCTGAGCTCCTCAACCAATCAGAGAAAGAATTCCAATTCTTCCAATTTACAGTAGGTCGGACGCCATATTGGTAAGTCGCATGTTATATAGTAAAATTTTGAAAAGGCTATTTCTAGAGTTTTATTAGGAGTTTATGGCCAAATTTGGTATCGATCAATTCGTCTCGGTAAGTTTTATACTATTGAGTCGATTGACCCTCGGGAATTTTGTTATTTAATTGAAATTGAACACATGTAAACAAACTTCCGGAAGGGGGGACGCTATCTTTTTTAAGTGTAAAAATACAAGTTTTCCACCGATATGCATCCGTGAAATTGCTAAAATTCAATTAAATACATTACTTTATAATTGCTTGTCAATGCATTCCTGTGTACATCGTATATTTATGCAGAAACGAGCTCTTTTAAATTGTGCAAATTCGAGCTGTGTGTTGATCGTCTGTGTACTTGTGTACATTTGATTGAAGACGTTTACCAAGACTATTTTGTATGAAACTCTGTAGGTTTTTGTGTTAAATCAATTGAATGAAGTCTGATCTCTTCTTAGGAACACGGGGTTTTACTTAGTTTGAGTTGAAACTATGTTTTACAACATTATTTTCTTGGTGACCTGTTTTCATTGAGTACATTTGTTTACATTTGTGAAATAGGCTGTATGAAGGAAATTTAAGTGAAACTGAGTTGAATTTTATATTAAATCAAGTGATTCTAGTCTAATTTCATGTTGTAAACACACCGTACTACTGCGCGCAGTGTAAAACAGTGTTAATTTGTATTCAATGAAGTAGTATACCTACCTGCAAGTTTTCCCTTTTTTGCACCTTCTTGTAAACATACATGGCATAGGACCGGGAATGTATCAAGTCTTAGTTTTGATTGAATATCAAAGAATAATAAGAAATCTTGCATTTTCAGCCCTACGTAGTGTCTCGACAGTAAACAGACTTGTACGTCACTCTAATAACAAGTTGGTACCTAGCCCCCCTTTGAGTACCTTGTAGACCCCACCCTCCAGCACCCCCGGGGACTGACCGGAAGCTGAATGGGGTGAAATACCTTCACTCGGAGACGGACGAGGAATCCGATGAAGTCTCGGCTGTTCGAACCTTCTTCGCAGACACAGAAAACAGTAAGTAGCATTTATTATTACATGTAACTAAAATACCTGGTATATATGAGAGGTATAGACAGTTTAAACCAGTACGGCTAGGTGAAATAATGCTGAAAACATTCAATTAGATTCATATGTGAGTAATTTTGGAAGAATTGGTTATTTAGAGTGATTGCGTATTTACTTAAACAGTGTATTTTTATACATATGATATACAGGTACAAGTTGCTAAGTAATGGTACTGTTTTACAGGTACAGGAAGGAAAAACAGATGAAATACTATGTGTATGATTGAGAAATCTAAGCATCAAGCCTCCCAGTGACAAAGACTTAGCCAGTCCTGTCAAGATAAAGCACCTTAAGGACACTGACACCTCGGTATTAAGGTACGACTTGTACCCAAGACTGCGAACCAGTTAAATGTGAACATGTGTTCTCGACATACACCGTCTGCAGTCACGATAGCCTAACCGGACACTTTCCAGCTAAAATATCTGTCATTTACACTTCTGCTGTCTCCTGAAAATGGTACGTGAATACAGAGATCCTTAATTGTACAGTGGAGAGTTCACTCAGACTGATACAGAGGAAAAGGAACCAGCACAAGATATGATGGATGTTTAACTAACTCCAAGCAAGTGTTTCAAGTGTGAAAAATCACATTCTATGCAATCTTTGTACAGAAAACTTTGGGAAGAAACTTTTAATGCTGCCTAGTGTTATGTTTTTATTACAACATAATTCTAGAAGGTCCCAAGCCCTTATAAAAGCAGAGGGAAAGTTTCTGATCCAAAATAAGTCAATATGAAGTCAGTGTGTTGTTTTTCTTTAAAATATTGTGTAAATATCACCTGCATAAAGTGTCAGAAATGAAAACCCACCAGGATTTGAACCCAGGTCTCTTGCCCAAAAGTCAGGCAAGTGTGTTACCACTACACCATGGGAATTTACAATGACACAAAATGCAAGGATGGAAATTAAGCATTTTTCTTTGGATGTAGAATTATTTGAGCTTAAAAAAGACTGAAAATGGGAAAAAATACCAAAAAGGAGTTAATAATTACTTACAGACATCCTCAAATATGTTATAAAGGGGGTTTATATAAATTATTCTAAGCAACTCTTGTAAAAGGATTTGACCCAAGAATTTTTGTTTTCGGTTATAATTTCAAGGCTAAATAAACCTGGAAATAAGTAAAAGTGTGAGAAATTAACAGATAATACAAAGAAAAGGAGTGTCAATTTGTCTGAAAATTAGATATATGAATGTAGGAATTTTGAGCAGATGGAGGTTTAATAAAATCATTTAAAAATTATATTCCTTGTCTTATTCTTTCAAATTCAAAGAGAAAATCACTTGCAGCATGTGTCAAAAGTTTAAAAACCCACCGGGATTCGAACCCAGATCTCTTGCCAGTAACTTAGGCAAGTGTGTTACCATTACACCACAGGAATGTTGGAAATGACACAATATGCAAGGATTACATCTGATTGGAAATGAGAAAAGGGCTAATTTTGAGTAAATGAAGGCAAAATAAGCCTAAAATGACTCGAAAATAAACCATGTAAGCCAAAATAATAGAGGAGGGGGGCTTGAAATAAAGCCCCAAATGAAGGAAGAAAACAGCAGCAAAAAATAAGCTGTTAGAATTTAAAAAAAAATATTTTGGGGTGAATCAAGGTAAAATAAGCATAAATTGACTGGAAAAGAAACCATACATGTCAAAATAATAATAGAAAAAAACCTTAAAAGAGGCTGAAATAAAGCCCTACTGATGTAGTAAGTAACAGGTAAAAATAGGCTGTTAGAATTTAAAAAAAAATATTTTGGAGTAAATCTAAGTAAAATAAGCATTAATTGTCTTGGAAATAAACCATAAAAGTCAAAATAATGTGGAGAAAACTTTTAAAAGGGGCTGAGGTCCTCTAGGTGGTATGTAAATTGTTTTATTTTTTTATATATCAATGAAATTCATGTAATTTTAAGTCTTTTTATTTTTTCATTAAAGATATAGATAAGTTATGTTTCACAGCTAATTTGTCTATATTTTCTTTTTTTTTAGTTCCAGTGGTGAGTTTTGTAGATGGTGTATAGTTTAGCACTATGTAGCTTATTTATATACAAACACAAATTCATATCTCTATCTCTAGCTTATATCTTTTTTTTTAATATATATTGGTGTCTGTTTTTGTTTTCATTATTACTCGGTATCTAGCTTTCATAATATATAATACATTCAAGCCAATAAATAATAGTTAACATTTAATATTTACTGGTATATAAATTACTAAGATATAAACAAAATCTATTTAATATTATATAGTATTTGATAGATGTAAAATAAGGAAATGAACTCTGAAATTCTGTGTATTGTTTTTTATTATTTGCAATTTGCTTATTCTGTCATACGAAATTGTAGATGTGGTGTACAGTGCCTGGAAACAGGTGCTGAGACCCGTGTGACCTGAAGTGGATCTCCAAGGCCCTCTTCCGTGTCAACCAGCAGGGAAAGCCGAGATGTGCTTCGACACCATTGACCGGATGTGGTTCCACCCCCCAAGCCAGCCCTAGTGTATGCCCAGCCTCCCACCATAGACAGGTATGCAGTTATTCTTAGGGAACATGTACTTCTTTTTAATTCTTTAATATTATTTTGTATTAAATAAAGCTATATTAGGTACTAAATATTCTCTGTTTTTTAGGTACTTTGCTAGGTCTTTCTTTCTGTGGATGCCGAAGAAGCTGTGGCGAGTTAGGTTGACGTGTCCCGGGGAAGACTGCGTTGGGCAGGAGTTGATCTCCTCGGGCATTTACAGGACACTCGCAGAGTCCTGAGTCTCTCAGGATTCTACTACATGGCCACGGAGTACCTGAATGCCCGAAATGCAAGAAAAAGCTCAGCAGTTGGAACCAGGACGTGCTTGACCGGCTCGACAGTGGGGCACCGCCTCCAGTTTCCGTGCATCTTCACCAGAAAGATGGCCTGCGACTGGAAGTGGTGAAGATGCTGAGACAGCGCGGACTCGGGAACAGTGTTGCCAGACTCCGTCAGAACCTCGCTGAACTGGACGAGAGGAGACCTGCAAGAGGACGGCGCACTACCTGAGCGACTGCCAGACCTTCAGCTCCGCCCAGAAGAAGGGACTGACCACGAAGACCGTCCACCTGCACCTGCAGATCAGATCCCTTGCGTGCCTACTCGTCTTTTGCAAGCGTCTGTCAGTATCTATGAGTCAAGTTTGAATCCACTTATCTACTGCACATCCAGTCGACTCGACAGTAATGATAGGCAGTTCTCCTAGGGAGCTCGTGGAACAGGCGTGGGCCTCAGGCCGTGGAAGTGGAGGCCGCTGTGTCACCATCGTCATCACGCGCAAGGGCTGGAGACGCCTTGGGGATCCGAGAGGACAGGGAAGCTGGTGTACTGTACAGGGAACCTCTGTAGGCCCCAAAGTGGGAGAATTCCGTCACCCGGAGGGACCAGGAGTGTATCTAGGAGTGATATGATATTGATACTTCTCTCAATTCGATGTTTCAGGCGTTTCGTAGGTCAGACGGAAGCCCTGGCACAGCGGGACGACCACAGCGCACTGCAAGGAGGCCCATCCACCTTACAGTTGTCAGGGCAACTGTGCGCGAGCAGCACCTTGCCAGTGGCCACCGAAGCCTGCAGCCCCTGCCTAGGAGGCCAAGGAGACCAGGCCAACGCGCGCGAGGGACCGGGGGACACGCGATGGGTCCACCACCGAAGGACTCCCGCACCAGAAGACCACCAGCAGACCCACATCGAGATAGTCGAGACAGTAGTAGACTGACTCTACTCTTCTCCGGAGAGGCAGAGCATGCTGGACTCCTCAGAGAGGACAGTGCCGGGTGATGTGGGCAGTGCACGCCCTGGCTACGTTCTGTTGCAGCTCAGGAGCACCCTCTACCCTGTACCCCAGACAGCTGATCTCCTTGTGGGAAGGCACACCCGCCACGACCGCTTTTTCCAGAGCCAGTTCCAAGTCTCTCCACCCAAAGGAAGGTTTACGTCTTCAACGCACCCCAACGGTTCACCAGTAAGGTTAGCTTTATTGTCGTCTTAGTATCTGTCACGAGTATTGTTAATGTCTCATTTATTTACTTGTCTTTCCGGTACCAGTGCTAGCATCGTCCAACTACCAGGCGTTCTGGAGGGGCTCATGCGATGGACACCAGGCCCAGTCAGGCGAGCCAACCAGCCCTGCAGATGGAGCCTCCGCTGACTTCTACAACAGGATCAGGGAGTGTCTGGAGGACCCGAGTCAGCGTTGACCAGCATTCAACTGTGCCCCTAACCAGACTGCTTTGGGGAATCCCTTTAACCCCCCTTAATCAAACCCGGGGTTTTACAGGGGAGTGTTCAATTTCTCTTGTACTCCCAGGGCAAGACGGGAG